TTCAACATTGCATCAATACATTTTTCAAAAAATGCCTCTCTGTGCAAAATGGGTTTAAACACATAAACAGCTGTTGGATCCTGTTTGTCTCTGATTTGAACCGAGGGAACAAATCGTGGCAGGATCAGCCTGATGTTATTTGTATCCTGCTGTAACTTTACTGTATAAAGAGCAAACATCTCCAACATGTCAGGAGCAGTTAGTCATTACAACAAGTAAATACTATTAATTAATAAAATCTGCATTTGTAAATTCATTTTTGAATTCCACTTTAATTACAAAAAGCATTTTGTAATAGACTTGAGATATGACTGCGCTCTGCTGTTTCTGATGACTCCGGTTAATTCTACAAGACATGCTGTGGAAGTAAATACAAACAACGACAGTTTGGTCTGCATTTATTCAAACCCCACAGACTTATATAGTCAAGTCTGCAAGTTTATGAACAGTGAGATTTGTTTTGGGCCCAAACTATTCTACACATCATCAGAATGAAAGTTATTGGCCATGTTTGCATAGCCCTTTTTAAAAATATGCTTTCATGGCATTATTGTGTGTGGGGTGGTGGTCAGGGCTATCCAGACTGACAAGTGGGACACTGAATGTCCCCTCTCCAGTGGGGAGGGAGCCTGAGATGGTCTGAATTGGAGTCTGCAATGTTTGAAAAAATGTCTTAAATAAGTTGGTGTAGCAAAGAATGTGATTGTTTGCTTGCAGGACTGCAGGAGAGATGAGTCCTCCTTCACAGGTCAGTGAAGGTGGTCGCCTGCAGGTTCAAGCTCATTGCATCTCCAACCCACATCCACTGCCACTGTACTGAAGGGAAGACAAAGACTTTCCTCTGCACTTACATTTGGATCACCTCGATCCATGACAGTCATTCAGGCAGTAATGCCTGGAAACAAGCATCCTTACAATATTACATCATACCAGCCTCTGTGTTTGAATGCAAAACAATGTGTTGTTTAAACTAGAGACTGGCCAATAAATACATTTCACTTTGATTATATCAGTAATGTAACTACAAAACAAAGTTGTGGTGGGCCTAAACTTCGTTTCAGAATAATTAAATCTGAGACTGATGATGGTAATTGTTCAGCTGAACAGTGTCCAGTATGTTGGCTGTTATACTTTATTACATTTGAAAATAAGAGTTGGGCTGATTTTAACTCCACTACAAGAAGTGTTGTTAATTATTCTTTAAGGGTCACATTTGCATTCAGTGTTATATTAATATAAGTGTTGTACTAGAAATGTCAAGGATGACAAAACGAAATGTGGTTTAAAAAACAAAAACAAAAAAACAAATTGCTTTTTAATTTAGTAGAACGTTAACGTTTGTCAGCGGGTAAATCATCAGTACTGCACAGTCGGAAACATCCAGTTATTCTTAGGACGCCATACGTGCAATGAATAAGTTGTCCTAACAGTCATCTTAAGCAAGCTCTACTTAGTCTTTGAGTTCTGGGAACTAATTAGATTTTGCAGTGCTTTACAATATAAAGTGCTACAATATTTGCACATGACTCTAAAATCCGTGCTATGAAGCTGTTTCTAAGATCACAACCTGATTTAAAAACATGATCTAAAATAAACTTTGTTAGCTATGAAATAACTCTGAGATATTAGGAGAATATGCCAAAAGAGATCACAGGATGGCAGGAATGTGCTGTAACACCAGCTCTTCCTGTTTCATTGGATCAGTAACACAGAATAAATGCCTGTGACAGAGGAGTCCGCTGCTGCTTCCCCGTGATACATGCAGACTCGGGTCAGGGCTGCTAGCCTCTGTGCTCATCAGTGTCATGGGACTAATGTTTAATCATTATCCACAAAATACACAAAGATTAAATATTTTATTTATCAACATTACATGATCAGGCATAAACACAATGAGCAAAGTTTTTATTTAGAAAAATTACACACTGTAAGAAAAACAGATTTTCAAAGCATAACATAGTAATCAAGAGAAGGTGTTGACTCTTCAGTTGTGTGTATGATCTTCCAGGCTCGTGGTGGTTTCAAGTCTAGTACTTTATTTCTTTTTGAGAATGTAACAGAGTAACAGAGGCCAGGACTCTTTGCACACCTGAGCAAAGGTACAGAATGCTCTTCAGAAGCACTAATGCTAAAAAGACAAGCGTGATCAATCTGTAAAGGACAATTTTGTGAAAGACAAAATTTATAATCATTACAATGCAGGCTATACACATTCCCTCAAATTTACTCTTTTTACAGCCCGAAGTTGTGAAATATGCAGATCTAGTGAAATTGCAGCGAGCACAAATGTAATTCAGGTTGAAAAATAATAAATCAGGAAATACTCAAAGTATTTTTTTTTCCTGAAAGTAGGAAGTTATGTATCTGCATGCTAAATGTTGGAAAAATGTTTGTGTTTCAGTGCGTGGAGTGAAACTGTGCAACAGCTGAAGCAGTTTAAAGAAGTCTTCACGTGACATAAAGATGCTGAATTTCAGTAAATGTCTCGTTTATTTAGTTTCTGTGCATATTCAGAATTTTTCATTAACATCTGTTTTGTGAATGACTTGTAGGAACAAGCTAATGTACGAACTATATTCTATGCAATCTGGAGTATGTTTGTTGTTATTATTTAAGTTTATAACAACAAGGAAGCTGCATAAATAATTAGAGATGACTTAAGGAGAAGAGGTAGTGTTAGAGAAGCATGCACTTATTCCCACTCTTGTTTGGATTTGTAAACTCAATCAGGAAAGGTGCGATATGTTAGTTTGCTTCATATTGTACAGTTTTTTCTTTTGTAGTGTAGAGTTTTATTTGATTTTTTTCTTGTTTTTCATACAAGTATATTGATAAGATAAGGTAAACCTTAATTGGTCCAACACGTTTGTTTGGTTATTTTTTACATGATCAACATAAACTGAATAAAACAAAACGTGTGTCACTGAGGTGACGGAGGAGGCGTACAGAGCGCTCGTGGATGACGGTGAAAGGTCCACGTCTGTCATGGACGTGGTGCCAGAGAACAACTGACAACAAGCTGAGCTATGAGACCAACAGAGGCTGCACACAAGAAGGCATGAGCAGGATCTATTTCTGAGATCCATGATGGAGAGCTTCTGTGGAGCACAGAGCACTGCTGTGGTCTGGGAGAGCAACTCTGAAGCTGGGGACACCTCAGACTAGGATCTTTGCAGTGCAAGTGTCTTCAGAGGGCTGTTGTTGCAGTTTAGTGCAATACTTCATTCAGCAGCTCTTGTTAGGGTTGGTCTGCCTACAGCCTGCACCCTCTTCTATAGCAGGAATCCTTTACCGCATCCAAAAACCTCCTGTGGCCCTCTTCTTTTCCTCTCACTTACAGATTACCCTCTGTTATAACAATACACTATATTTACAGCTGTTATTGTCAGTGTTCAAATGGCACACGGCTGTTTTTTGTGTTTAAATCAAGTTACTCTGAAAATGTAAAGTGAGACATTTTACCCAGCAGTGTCATTTATGAAAGGTCTCAAAAGCATGAAGTCTAAAAGAGGTAGGCAGCATCGGTGGGTGTGTTTGTTTCAAAGTGGTTATGCTCTTCATGTGCTCATTCTTTGGTTTAACCAGTGGGGGCAGCGTTGTTATAAAGAGACAGCTGTGGAGGCTTTTTCCTGAGTCAGACTTGCACTGTCAATAAAATCAGTGCTGAGTAGGAACAGTCACAATGCAGTGTATTCATTATTTATCACTTCCCTGAACATCTGAATAACAGTTTTCCAGATAAAATGCTGTTTAGTTCATCTCTGTTTCGTGCTCTACGTCCATTACGGGTCTCTTCTCTGGTGGAAGGTTCCTGTTTTCCGCTTTCTCCACATACCTCTGCAGGGTGCTGTAATACTGCTCGCTCCTGGAAAACGTGTAGTATGCAGAGATCTCCTCCCAGGCTTTGTGGTTGGGAAACGGGAATGGATCGGGTGCCTTGTTCTCAAAGAAACTCTCCAGGTTTCTCTCAGCCAGTTTGGTGGCATACTCTATAGTAAGGGCATCAAACCGCTCCTTTTCTTTGTCTATGTAGCTTTTCCAAAATTTAAGCTGCAGGTAGCTGACTTGGGAGCGACAGTTTTTGTAGCAGGTACCCAGAAGGCCTACAAAAGCGCCAATAATGATAATGCACCAGCCCAGAATCTGCAGAAAGAAATGATGCTGTCAGTTTCAGACTGTCTTTAGGGACAGCAGAGAATTCAGAAGGTGGAAAGGAGAGTTGGGGGATAACTGACACCTTCAGACTGTGTAACACCTGAATACATCACACTGAGATACCTGGAAGCACAAACCTCAATTACTAGAGTAATTCAGTGTCTTAGATTTCTAAGAAGGCCCCAGTTTTTTGTTTGTTTTTGGCAGTGATGCAGTATTTAAATAGTTATGTTCTTCATACTTCCTTTGAACGAAAAGAGAACAGCCTGAAGCGTTTGGCAGTCAGAGCACGCAAACATGAAAAAGCTGGAAGTAAAATGTATTAGTTTGATTTCATTATTTAGACATGCAACATGAAGAACCACAGCAACGGCAATTCAGGACTGCACTTCCATAAAGGACCAATATTCAATTACTAAAAGTTGTCTGGCAGCTAGACACTATTTTAAGTGAAGCAAAATTAAATAAATGAACAAATCGGTCAGTAAGTCTTTAGTTAGAGCAGGCGTGGGCAACTCCAGGCCTCGGGGGCCGGTGTCCTGCAGGTTTTAGATGTGTCAGCTGCTTTAAATGGCTAAATGACCTCCTCGACATGTCCTGAAGTTCTTCAGAGGCCTGCTAATGAACTCATCGTGTGATTCAGGTGTGCTGACCCAGGGTTAGGTCTAAAACCTACACCGGCCCTCGAGGCCTGGAGTGGCCCAGCCCTGAGTTAGAGGATAGTTTTTCATTGTTAACATAATGGTCTAACACAAATGATCAGTCTTTGTGCCTTTTCAGTGATGGCCTGCTGTTTAAACTAGAAACCCCACTACACTCACAACAACCATAACAGACAAACAGCAAAATACTGATCAATCGAACCCCATACTTCAAATTTGTGTGAAAGTCTGTAATGTTGGATCCCAGTCGCCCTCCCGACGTCACTATGAAATCTTACCTGAGACTGAGCCCTGAACATCAGCAGCAGCTCCATGCGCTCCTCGCTAGACAGTTTAGAGCGGTCGCAGGGCACCCGGGCCAGCTCCTCACGACACTTCAATGTCTTGTTTTTGCAGAAGAGATCGACCACCAGACTATCATCAAGACCACTAACAGCACACTCATAAAAGGTTCCATTGAGCAGAGCCACACAGAGCCACATTATAGGAGCCACACAGGCCCCGGTGAAAATACTCAGGAACACCCTAAGACAGCCGAAACAGTTTCCACGGGGGCAAAGCTTCATGGGATTGAGGCAGCACCCAGTGTAGAGCCTCCAAAAGCGGGTACTGGAGAAAATACCAAAGATCAGCAGCACTGCAGCTGGTCCCAGCAGAAATGTCACGCCATAAGCAAAGTTCTGGTCGTGGTTGCAGGGACACTGAAAGGAGACCATGGAGAAAATTCGTTCCCCGCCTATAGTCAGCAGAGCCATGAAACTGTAGCCAATTGTGGTTTTCTGATTCACGAGGAAACGCAAGATACTCTGGAAGTTATCCATGATGTCGGCCAATAAATCCGAGTGGAACAGCAGAGAGCTAAAAGTGAAAGAGCCAAGTGTCAGTGTGGAGTCACTTCCTTTGTGCTGTTTTCCACAGCCAGACCAAACTCATCTGCCAAGCCTGGATGTGCCCCTCCCTTTGGCATTCTGTCTTCTCTGCAGGCCCCTCCTTCAGTGAGGCTGCACTTCCTCCCAACCACTTCCCCTTTTATTACCATATCTATTCCATCTCCAGAGAAGAGTCGATACTAAAAAGAAAGGTGAAAAAGTTCAACTCTGCTTTCTTCTCTTTTACCATCCCTCTTTACTCCCCCCTCCCCCCACCCCAGCACCAGCATAGGTGAGTCAGTCATGGAGAAAAATCCTGTTAGTTCAGTTACTCTGGTTGTCTTTTAACTATTATGCAATCCAGACTGTAACCTGAAACTATCTGAGGAGCAAAAACATGACAGAACATGCAAAGTGGGAAGACACACAGTACACAACAGCAACACAAGAGCAGGTTATTAGAGCGCACACCAGCGGCGTCTGTAGTAGAGACGGTCAGCCCTTAGCGTGCGGGGAAGTGCAAACATCTATGTGGTGTGTCTGTTCCTGTCCCACAGGACTGAAGCTTGCAGTGCATTAATGCTGCACTCTGACAAATCTGTCCATGTGTAAAACACATCAACAGTTCCTACAGCTCACATTTGTGTTTCGAAAATGAGTGTTAACTAAGTGTCAGATGAAAAACCTGCCCTGGACTGATGTTCGTATGTCTACATCTTTGTCAGTGATGTGAATTAAACATGAAACCCATCAAGTAAACCAAGGTGTGTTCTGTCTGTGCAGACTGGAAATGTGGTGTCAGAGTGGTGTGACTGTTGCTAGCCTGTAGGCATTCTGCATACAAACATTAGCCCAGTGCAGGTTTCTCATTAGGTTTCATTTACATCACTGATCTGTTTTGGTCAAGCTATGAAGTGCCCTCTCATTCGGTTCTATTTTACTCTGTGAAGCTTGTTTATGAAGGTATAATTCATGAAAATGCAAATTAATTCATAACTCTGGATTTTTTGCTCATTGTTCTGTTTTTCACTGTTCAAATAAACCTACCACTCAAGTTTTAGACTGGTCGTTTCTTTACTAGTTATTTTTAATAATTATTTCCCTGACTGTAGGTTTTAAAATATTTAGGTTTTCATTCATTTTTGGGGGCTACTGAAATAACAGATAAATGTTCAGATCCACCTACTTTGAGATTGCAGGCAGCACCCAGTGTGAGCAAAAGCATACATTACATACATTATATTACTCACCCGTCCAAATCATTGAATTCAGGTGTTCTAATCCCTTTTATACACAGATGTATAAAATCAAGCACACAGGCATGTGGGCCACAAAGGTAGGCCACGTAGCATCACAGAGTGGGGTTCAGTGGATGGTGACACCCATAGTGTGCAGAGTCACTCCCTACAGACCTCCAAACCTCATGTGGCTTGATGATTGCTTGATGGAAGAAGTTTCCATGGCCGAGCTGCATCACATCACCAATAATGCGATGCGCAGGACGCAGCGGTGTAAAGCACTTGACTGTAGAGCAGTGGAAGTTTTGTAGAGTGACAAATCAGACTAATCCAATCGTGTCTGGGAGCTGCTGGGAGTACTTGTCTGACTTCATTGTGCCACCAGTGTAAAGTTTTGTGCAGGGTGAAGTATGATGTGCGGTCTTTTTCAGGATTTGGGTGCAGGCCCTTAGTTGCAATGAAAGGAACTCCTAACGGTTCAACATACCAAGAAACTTTGGACAATATCACACAAAGTTCCCACAAAATTGGGAAAGTCTGGGAATATCCCCCTCCTGTTGCCTGTTAAAGACATGAATGAGTGAGCCTGGTGTGGAAGACGTTGACTGGCCTGCACAGTTCTGGCCTCAACACTTTGAAATACCTTTGGGATGAGACAGAATAGAGACTGCGAGCCACACAGTCTCATCCAACATCAGTATTTGACCTCACAAATGCAGTTCAGGAAGACGGTGAAAAATTCCCATAGACACACTCCTACACCTTGTGGGAAGCCTTCCCAGAAGAGTTGAAGCTGTTATAGGCACAGAGAGTAGGACGACATCATATTAAAGCCATGGATTCATATGCAAAGAAAGAAGACGAGCAAATATATCTGGTAATATAGGAAACTCCAGAAAAACCATCATTCAGCTTCTTATTTATAAGTTTCCTAAAACATTAAACTTTTTAAAGCAATCTTTTGTGTATTTGGATAGAAAGAATGTTTAAAGCCACATGCGACCTAATCGACCTCCAACTCTGACTACTTCCACATACTTTCAGCAGCAGGAACTATTCCAACTTTAAAATGTTCCCAATTGAACTATTGAACTTGTATTCATCTGTATTCTTATCTTTTCCGATTCAGTTTCATGCTTATTTTCAACTTTATTCAAAGAAGGTTGCACAGGATGTTTGTGAGTATAGTGGGGGTGTCAGAACATCCATCTAAAAGATTTCTCTTTCAGTTGCTGCTGAATTCATCTTCTTTCAAACAATGTGTCAATAAATGTAAACTGATCTGTGTGAATCCGAGTAGAGGGAGTATCTTCTAATTGGTACATGGTATCCGGTTGTTCAGTCTGACGTCACTAGCTGTGTCTGGGTCTAAACTCTGCTGCAGGTCCATATATCAAACGATCACTATGGCATTACTGAGAGTTGAAAAACTGTCTAAAGTCTTTCATCTTTAATAAAATGATCAGCGTTCTGCTCTACCAGGTGTAACAATTGAGTTTAACATCCAGGCATCCATGAAAACGGAATTTATGACATTTAACGGAGTTAGAAGTTAGCAGGGAGTTAGCTCGCTAGCTTCTATCTAAATACAATATAGCATGTCCTGACTGCGGGGTTTTGGAAACAAATTAAAACGTACAGCTCTGTTATCACTTCCAGCATAAATGAAGACAGAAAACTAAACAGCAGTGATGTTTGTAGGGTTACTGAAGTTTGGCTAGCTGGTATATAATGATGTGCTACGTGACCGCTAGCGACACAGCTATGTTAGCATAATATAAACAAGCTAACTTTTTTTCCACTGGATAAAAGTTAACGTGAGTGTTCTCGGTGGTCAGGAACAAATGTAATCGCATGGCAGGATGCTGTAAAAGGACCAAACTTCAGCCAGGAGAACAACTGAGATAATCCATCCACAATACGAGGTTAGTTATTCATATACTGCTGCATGGGCTGGGCTGTAGTTACATCCTAAGGTTTTAAAAACTGAGCTTAAATAAATGATTAGTGGTAATAAAAGCCGAGGGAGGTCAACAGTGATCACTGACTGTTTTAGGAGCTTTTTGAGATCAAATAGAAGAAAATACAAAACATTAAACATGTTAACAACACAAAAGCCATATTAAACGCAGACTACTTTAGACCCGGAAGTAGGATTCGTCACGTCATCACTTAACGACCGGATAGACAGCCCCTTCACCCTGACACTCTCAGTGCCTAATAAATAACTGAGCTCCATATATACTGGATCAGAGGTCAGTCTACAAAGGTGCATTATGAAACCCACGGGTCATGATCCTTCTGATGACTAGCAGCCGCTAATCAATGCTGTGTGACTTCATAAACACGTTGAGCCTGAGTGCTCAGTCACTCAGTAGCAAACTAACAAACACTTGGTCCTTCAGTGCCTGTAAAAACATGAACTTCTGCAAATTAAGCCACTACCCTTTGTGCTTTGACAGCAACAGGAAATAAATCACAGTTTCAGTTAGCTGGTTCACGTGCATTTGCAGGACTTGGTACAGAGACAGTTTACGGTGAGACAAACAGTGACAACACAAGGACGTGTGAGTTGTGTGTCCAGGACTCCAATATTTACAAAATACAAAGTTCAACGAGTTTTCTTCACAGAGGAAAACTCTCAGTGACTCAGCTGATGTCCATCAACCATCCTCGGTTCTCTGACTGTTTCACATGTGGGATTTACAACAAAGTTCAAGCTTTAAAATCACTTTTATTACATTTCCTTCTCTTCTGTGTTGTACTTAACATCTTTTATTGTTAATTCCATCACATATGAACATTCAGTCACAAATGAATTCTTCATGTTTCACTCAGTTAATACTGTTTTACTTCAGTTACATTTTCACTCACTTTTTGTCTTCAAAACTTCTTTTTTCAGTCATAATATACTCAGCTTAATTTCTTTTATTAAATCATATATTAAAATACTGTCTCTGAATATTTGTTTATTGTTCTGACCAAGCACTACAGCCCTCAGATTCTCACTGGTACAACGAACCCCACCACAGAAGCACATACAACACAAACCCATCACAGGAAAAGGTCAGATATTAATTACTCAAACTGCATTTCTCATCCATCATATTAATTAGACTTACTTTGATTATATCTTTGATTAAGAATAAAGCTGATTGACTATTAGTAAAAGCACATATAGAGAAACTGTGTTCAAACACGTTGTGTCACTGTAACCTTAAGAGGCTGGATGTTAAGACCTTTTACTCTCGCCGTTGTAATCAGAGGTAAACTTTTAATCCCACATTTCTCAACAAAATAATCAGTGCAAAGGAAACCTTTGCCTGTTCTCGTTCATACGACTTCTATAAAACAACGGTGCCAGAACACACTGTGGCCATGAAAGATGAATGTTTCATGGCCACAGTGCAGTTGTAGTTTTAATGTGATGGAGATCTGATGTCACGTTGTTAAGGAGAGACAAGCGTAACACATTGATTCAACTCCTGCATCAGATCTACATCATAACGTCACATTTCACTGCATGTTGTACTTGAATACCCACATGGAAAAGATCTATAAATCTTCTCAAGTTTGTATGTGTCGTGTGTGAATCTTGTATGAAAAGCATACAAGAGTGAAAACTTGAAAAATGATATAAATGAAACTTGTATGTTTTGGATATTAAAACAATAAATGAAAGTGGCCACTTTCATGAGTTAATCACATCAGCCTTCTATGATTCACTATTTGAAGTAGGCCACATCTGATGCAAGTCTTTTATAAGTTTTTTCTATTTCTTTACCATATGGGTAACTATGTGCCAGAACCCCATTTAGCTCTGCGTTGCAACCTTCTACATAACCTGATGTACACTTCCTGAGAAATTTAACTACACATCTGCTCGATGCATACCACAACAACTCGAACGGCATGGAAGATTGCAGCCTAGGGAAAAAACACGTTTCTGGTTACTACCTAAGTTAGGACATAAATTTCTTGCAGCCGTCCTTTTATGTTTACAGTGATACAAAGTGTTAGAGTAGAGTTCATCTGCTTTTTCTCTTCTTTAAACTTCTGCAGGACGGTCAAAGCAAAGAGGTTATTAACAGAATATAGGAGGTACTGTGGGAACGCAGTGGGGTAAATGCAGACACACAAACTTCACACAGGATGAAAGACTCGGGAGGATCAGACAGATTCTCCTGAGTCTGCAAACAGAACATGGAATTAAAAACTAAAGACTGACATGACAGGAAATACAAAATAATAAAAAGTTGCTGCACACTATCCTTCACTGTGCCACTTTATGCAACTACAATATTAAGCATACAAATGATTATTTCATGCATATTTCATTTATTCTTCAAAATTACGAAGTTAAGAGCATTTCTAGAGCTTCTCTACTTCACACCTTTTACAGTTTAATGTGGGTAGTCTGTGACTCACAGTGGCATTCTCCCATCATCTACAAAACTAAGAACAGCTGGGTTATCTTCTACAGACTCGTTTGACTTGACTGAACTCATCCTCATCGTCCCGTTGTCAGTCTCCTGGCAGTTCTCCACATATCGGTGCAAAGTGCTGTAGTAGGTATCTTTGGTGGTGAACTTGTAGAGAGAGGAGATCTTCTCCCAGTCTCGGTTGGATGGTGTGATGACATTTTCAGGTGGTGTCTTTTCAAAGAAGGTCTTTAGGTTTCTCTCAGCAAACGCTTTGGCGTGCTTAGCCGTATAGGAATCAAGTAGATTGCTCTCCTCATGCACATACGCCTTCCAGAACTGCAGCTGCAGGTAGCTAATAGGGGAGGAGCACCGAGCCACACAGGTGAGCACCAGGTTTGTCAACATGATGAGAGTGATGAGCATCCAACCGAGAATCTACGGACAGTATTTATAGTAAATAGTAAACAGGTAATAGAGGTAATAAAAGCAGTTTAACCGTTTAGTCACACACCAGGAAATGAAAGTCAAAAAAAATAACAAGGGAACAACGTTTCTGTTCTTTAGGTCAACGGCTACAAATGAAAACAGAACACTGGTACATTTTGTCATTAAATATCAGTATCACATTTCTATGTGTATTGTGTTTATACTGTTACACTTTTAATTCACTGATAAGCACAAAAACACACTCATGAACTCAACATGATCCACTAAACTCATCATCATGCAAACCATGTGATCCAGTAAAATGATGATCAGACTAATTATCCCATGAATGTATCAACTTAACCATGATCTTCCAGACTAATCGTGTAATAAAAGTCTCAACCTGCTGAAATGGTGAATTGACTGGTTCTACTGTAGCACATTCCTCCTCTAGCTGAACACAACATATACAACTTACTGTACTGTCTTACATCCACACACATTCATACTTTAATGGAAGCATCAGAGAGCCGCTTGGTTTAGTATCTTGCCCGAGAATATTTGGCACGCAGATTGGAGCAGCAAGGGATCGGAACAAAAACCATCTGTTAAGTGGTCCATGATCATCCAAACTTTGTTATACAGACAAATTACCATCCAGACTTATCCATGAAAACATCATCAAACTGTTATCCTCCATCTATCCATTTGGGTGGAAGGTTGGGGGTCACGGATGATTTTCAGGTGCACTTTTGTGCAGCCCTACATCACCTAGCTGCATGTTGCTGGAAGCACATGATGACAGCAGAGTTCACCCAGAATGGGAGAACTGTGAAAACAATTCAAAGATTAAATAAATAATAATACAGCATGAAAACCATAGACAGTGGCTGCAGTGCACTCATTCAGTTTCCGTTCGGCTCTTTGTACTTCACTCTTCTCGACAGCTTGCTGACTGACAACAGCACAAGCATCAGAAGTATTTACTTCAAAACTGCAACTCCTTCCTTGCTAACTACTGCACATGCTCCACTAGGGTGACCAACCGTCCTCTTTTCCCCGGACATGTCCTCTTTTCACGTTCTGTCCGGGATGTCTGGGAGGATGTTCGAGATTGATGAAAATGTCCGGGTTTCCTACAGAGGACCCACATGTGTGACGTCATGCCCGAGCTGCAGCTTTGTGAGTTGTTCTGCGCTTACAGACAGACAGTGCGCAGCAGCCTGGTGATTTTAAAAAGATGCCAAAGTGCTACTGCAGCTTTTCAGACGACTGCAAAAGTTATTTCCCTCGTAGTGTCCTGGTACTGCTAAGTTTTCTTATATGAGGCCTTATTTCTGTACCATTATTTAATTCCAGAGGTTTTTAAGTTATTTTTTGCCCTTTTTGACTTGTAAAAGCATATTATTAAAGTTCTTCATGACTGGGCCAAGTGTCCTCTTCATTGGAAATCAAAATATGGTCACCCTATGCTCCACAACCCGGGAAAAGTTCAAATCAAAGCAAGTGGGAACAGTTTGGGAGCAGAAGGTTGTTAAGCTAACAAATCCTCAGAGCTACCAGTTGCAGAACTGCTTTTCTGCACCCTTAATATCAAGAGTAAGTCATGGAAGTGTTTAAATATTGACCTGGGTGTATTTAGTTCTGTAGGTGTCACGATCCTGGGTCTTTTGACCCAGCGTTTTGAGTTTTAGTTTATGGTTTATGTTTAAGTCCTTCGGGTTTTCGAAGTTCATTTTTTATCATGCCTAGGTTGTTATAGTTTGTTATTAGATTCCCTTGTGTCTTCCACCCCTGTTAAGTCTCCCTTGCCCTTCATGTGTTTCATGTCGGTGTCTTATGTTTCCTGTTTTATTTTGAAGAGGTCTTGTGTTCCTGTGTTCGTTGTGTTTAGTTTTACTCTTCCACTGTGACGTCGTTATGTTCTTGTGTGTCAGCTGTTCCCCCGTGTGGTCCCACTTCTCTCGTTAGCCTCCTGTGTGTATTTAGTCTGTGCCTTCTCATTCAGTCTTTCCCATGCCATGTCCTGCTTTCAGGTTTTCCTCACCACGTTGCCATGTTTAGAGTTTCTTTGTGTTTTCTACTTGCCAGGGTTCTTCATGGTTCATGTTTCCTTTCTAGTTTACCCTGTTTAGGTTATTGCTTAGCTTGCATTGTTTTCGCCTTTTTATTTTGTACTGTTCTGTCTGCTTTAATAAACGGCTCATCATCAGTTGAGTTTGTTAATGTCTGCACCTGGGTCCACTCCTCACACTCTGCAAACTGTGACATTAGGAGTGATGAGTAAATCTAGTCATTAAACTTTTCTAGTTAACAAAGCGAGTTCAACCCTGCGCTGTGTTGTTTTGTGTTCAGTATAGTGCAGGTACATGTTGCTGGCTCAGAGTGCTCACACAGAGAAACACTGACTATGTGTCGAAATCTGTCTGTGTTCTACTGTTAGCCTCTGTGTGGCCAGTGTTATGAGCTTCATTTAGCACAGTGGTTCCCAAACTTTTTTGCTGGGCTCCCTTGTTTTACAAGAAAAATGTTCGCCCCCCCCGCGCCCCCTGCACGCACACATCCTCTAACCACACACGCCCATATTTTGCGCCAATGCGGTTTATTTCACACCACAAACATTTAGTAAATAATTAAGCAAATACAAGTAATCTGCAATAAATTACAGGTAGTACTGAAATAAACTACTAACTCTTTTACGTCCACATCTACACGGGTATTTTTGAACACGCAGCTGTTTCGTCCACGTAAACAGTGTTTCGAATCACCGAGAACAGAGTTCGTCACGCAGCGTCAGAGGTATGAGCCTTTTTCCACGTCACGCTGTGGCCACGTTATTGTTTACATGGGATGAATTGCAGAATAGCAGATAGAGACAAATACTGTTAATCTGACTGTCTGCAGGTTTACACGCAGTTACTGTCCCTCTGTTTACAAAGGCAGAGGCGTCACGGTGGGATTATTTTACGTGTAGTTGTTTTTTTTGTGTAATAATATTCAACATTGCTATCAAATCAAAAAAATCCTCTCTGTGCAAAATGGGTTTAAACACATAAACAGCTGTGGGATCCTGTTTGTCCGTGATTTGAAGAGCCCAGCGCTGCTCCTGATGCAGGGAAACCAGTCCTGCAGGGAGACCTACCTCAGCACCTGTGCAGGTGAAGCCAAAGGGAAGATTTGCTTCACCATGTTTTCTAGTCTTTGGCTTGGAATGAAGTTGGTTTGGAAACATTCAGCGACGCTTCATCTCCTGCTTTGCGTTTCTGTAGGCGCAGCGTTTTGGTTTTTTTCCTCCCTTTTCACACCGCGCCCCCCCTGCCATGGCTCTGCACCCACCCCCCCACCCCCAGGGGGTGGGCCCCACACTTTGGGAAGGTCTGATTTAGCAGATGTTAGCCAGTCCTCAGCTAACAACTGTTAGCAGGTTTAATTCACCTGAGAGATAGCTGCTTTCCACTATCACAGTAGAACTCGTTTCACAAGCTGGGATAGCAGTGCTTTTGTTGTTTTTTTGTATAAAACGTCGAGTTAGCACATTAGTTTTGCTGTAGTTATTTTGCCATTATTATTCTCATTGTACAACTGTATAGTGACATTAAAGGCATTCTAGTCTATTCAATATCTAACTGATTGCTTTGTTTAATACATTCCTGTTTTCCCTCCTGTGACTGGTTAATACCACTAAATAACTGAAGCATTTGAAATTTTGTGTGTTACAGTTGAAATATAAGCAGAATTTGACTAAAGGTCAAAGGTCACTCTTTTGAGGATGCCAATGTTCACATTTTGGACAGAGAAGACAGATGGTGTGAAAGAAGCCTCTGTGTCCACTGTGAACAGACATCTTATTCTGCTGGGTGTGGTGGGAGGGTTAGCTTACTGCACGGTGTCCTGCAGGTTTTAGACGTGTCCTTGATCCAACTCAGCTGATTTAAGTGGCTAAATGACCTCCTCAACATGTCCTGAAGTTCTCCAGAGGCCTGGTAACGAACTAATCATGTGATTCAGGTGTGTTGACCCAAGGTGAGAAACCTGCAGGACACCGGCCCTCGAGGCCTGGAGTTGGACACCCCTGACTATTAAACCCAAGTAAACAAGTGTCACAGTCATGCAGACTTAGTGTTAGTGTGGAAGACCCAAATGTAGACATGCCAGGGTGCGTCCAACAAAAAATGAGCTGTTTATGATGCTGAGAAAACGCGAAGTGAAATCTAAACAAACACACACGTGTGTATTTATATCCTCGTGGGGACGCCTAATTGACACAATGCTTTCCCTAGCCGCTTACCCTAACCCTAACACACACACACACACACACACACACACACACACACACACACACAAAACACCAACCAAACCACAAATCGAATTTCAAAATAATGACTAGAAAAAACCCCAAAACCTACAAAACACTGGGTCAAATGAGGTTTGATGGTAAAGCAGATCACAGCAGATTGTATAAACAGGAGCGTAAAGCTCTGAGAGAACATGAACTAACTCCTGAACACAACTGGGAACCACTGCAGAATTAAGTAACACAAATAATAACATTAAAAACATGATAAACAATAACAATGAAAATCAAAGCATTTACACCGTAGGCATCTCTAGCTGTTCTATTGAGCAAATAACTTTCAGTTTGCTGATAGTTTGTAGATAAAAAACCCAAACAGATCTAAAGAACTCTTTCACATGAGTGTGAAAGCAGCAGAGCATTTTACGTACCTGAGACTCAGCTCGGAGATTAAGCAGAACATCTTCTCTCACAGCCTGAGGTACACTAATGCTTTTCCCACACGGGAACCGGTGCAGCTCCTTCTCACACTGGATCTCAGAGTTCCTATCTCTGCACACGTGTTTGTTGTAAATGCTCACATTGGTACCTGTCATGGCGCACTCGTAGTAGTTTCCATTGAGTAAAGCTACAGCTATCCAAGTAGAAGGCGCAACAAGCGCAAAGGTGCCGATCTGACAGAGGACCACACCAGCGGCAACCAGCTTCTTGCAGCACAAAAGCTTTTCCGAACGCCGGCACAGACCCGTCAGCAGCTTCCACGTTTTCTTACTGAGGATGTAACCCAGCAGCAGCAGAGCCAGAGCTGGCACCAGCAGGAACACTATCCCATAGACAAAGTTCAGCTCGTTGCAGGGACACTTAAATACCACTGCAGAGAATATCTGCTCTCCTCCTGCTGTCAACAGAGCTATCAGGCCAAAACCAAGGTTGGTCTGTTTGCCTGCAATGTTCAGAACAGTCTTAAACTTGTCCATCTTCAACTGCTGCGTAAATAAGCGACCGCTGAGAAACAACGTCTGTTTCACTTCCAGCTTCAACGTTAGCTGCACCGCTGAGTCCTCTACCACTTCCTCTTTGAAAAATAGCACATGAGATGACAGTGACTGCTCTTCCTGCATTATAGGGCCCCTTGTTTACACCTGCATAAAGATAAGATAAGATGACCTTTATTAGTTTCACAGGTGGGAAATTTGTTTTGTTACAGCAAAAGTGCAAAATTATGTAGCAGAAATGAGAAAACACTGGAGCAGATTTCACCAAATAAAGTGAAAACAAAGCAGGCTCTGTAAGATCCGGCACTGTTGTAACAGGACATAAATGTCAAACGTTACTTTTGGTTAAAAGGAAATCCCAGTCAGCATATGAGAGTCTACTAAACAGCAATTCCATTTCCACCTTTGCAGAAAGTAATAAAGAACAAGTTGAATTATACTTTTTATTGAGGAAAGTACAAAGGGAATGTATCACATTTCCAAAAATCTGATTTATTGATTAATTTACTTAATATATGTTCATTTTGAATTTGATATTTTAATCCAAACTTGAGAGAGAGAGAGCCCTGCGGCCGCCTGTCCAAGGTTTACTCCGCCTCTCGCCCTGAGTCCCCTTTGACCCCTTTGACCCCTTTGGATGGAATCCAAAGTTTTTCATTTTAATCCTGAATCCAAATCCAAATCCATAGATGAAACCAGGACAGAATGGACATGAAGGGAAACTGACATCAGCAAAAGAAGAAGTAAAAGACTAACAAACTAGGCCCGGTGAGTGAATCTTTGAAGTTCAGGAACCTCAATTTTCCTGACAGCAATGGGAGGAAGAGAGGAAGGGGTGGTGGTTTTACAAAATCCAAAGGAAAACAGGAGAAATGAGAAGCACAGGAAGAAACAGGAGGGAGGAGACGGTTCTATCTCGACTCACTGGTTTGAATAGCATCTTGTTTATGCTGAAAGAAGACAATTGATCAATAACTTGGTGATATGAAACTGGACTTGGTGTATGGTGAACTTTATCAGGCTATATTTTGGTTTTTAAGGCAGACTCATTTGTTTGCGACGATTTGAGTGTTTTTTAACGCTTCAGTTCACACTCCACACCAGAGGGTGGCGGTATTTCACTGTTTTGCTGTTTGCCAACCGCCAACAAAGGAAGGAAGAAGAAGATTTTCCTGACACGCGCATATCGACAGGGGGCGGTACTGCCTTATCATGCGACGTTTGAAGCTATCGCCAAACAGCAAAGAAGAAACAGTGCCGTGATAATTGGATAGATTTCTGCTAGGCTAACCTCTGTGTTTGAAAAGTTTCCACATTTATTCGTTATACTGGTGTTGTTTTAGTTTATCGCAGTAACCCGGTCTGGTCTACTTTTAATTTTCTCTTAAGAAACCCTCAGAAATGGCAGAAAATACAGGTGAGTGTGAAGATTACCCAAGTAGCTTGTTGTGGTTGACAAGAGCTAGCTTTAACCCATTAAGCAGACCCATTTGTCTCTCATGAAAAGCCGCCCATGTATTTCACTGGGATTTACTCATGTCTTGGTCTTTCGGTCTTTATTTATTGGTGTGTTCTGGATCCCAATGACTTCTCTCGGTTAACTTAAACGGTTTGTGTGCTGCAGCAGGCGCTTTTCCCTCTCTGCCTTCGTTTGGGCTAAACTAAGATGAATCAACGGACTTTTAGTCCTCGCTCGTTTACAACGTGAGCTTTATGGTACATTTAATCCAGCCAATAGTAAAACCTCGGTAATAAAACCGTAAGTCCTCGAGCCCTTTCAAAAACAGTCAGCCGCTAACAGCTAGCAGCTAATGCAGCACCAGATTAGAACGAGTAGCCTTTTATTATCGATGTACACGTACGACGTTGTCCACGCCAACTGTGTAGGTATAAAATAGTAAGACAGCAGGAATATATACAAAACAAGAGAACGGCGCACATTGGAGAACAGGTTGTAAAGGACTTGGTCTGAGTGTGTGAGTGATGAGCGTTACTCAGACCGTGGGTGGGATCGTGTCCGATACCGGTGTTGTGCCAAAAAATTATGTCTGCAAAAAACTGATTGCTCGTATTTAAACTGTTATAAATAACTTGTTGGTCTGTAATATGTGAAACATGTCAGATGTTTCCCTCACGAATGACATCAAGTCAGTTAGAAACAACATTCCTGTAACAAGGTACAAGCCACAATCGGTTTTTAGCAGTGACCTTTTATATTAAAAAAAACTCTCGTTAAGATTGAAACTGTCTTTAGTAAGACTAATCTGGCCAAGCGGGAATTGCAACAAATATTACAGCAGTTCTGTAAACATATTTTAAGTGGAGGAAAAGGACTGGATAGGTTATAATGCAAGTACAACACACAGAGTTTAAAGATGCTTGAAAAACAGGTCATATTTAAATTTTATATATAAGCCCTTTGTAAACCCCGTTCACTGAGGCGATCACTGTTTGGCACAACACCGGTCCGAAAGGCTCCAGGGACGAAGCTGGTTTTAAGCCAAGGGCAGCGGGTCAAACAGGTGGGGGGCGAGGTGTAAGGGCTGACCTGTGACAGGAGGAGCAGGTGATGACCCTAACCCTGGCCTTGTTTGGTGAATGCTCTGAACAGGTTGGTTTTATATGGATAAATCATACAATCAAAGAGGCACTATTTATGTAAGCTGGCTTGTTTGTACATTGTTATGCGTATTACACTCAGTGGCACTTTATTAGGTACACCCCCTTAATGGAAGTTCAGCAAATATTTTCTTCACATCATCTGTGTGAGTCCATTTTGCTTAATTTTAACTTTTGCTGCAAAACAGTTTCTAAAAAATGTTTATCATGTAACCAACAAATAAAAGATATACTATTTATGGGTATTCACAAATTGGTGTTTCAGCTTATACTTAATATTATTATTTATTTTTAAATCAGAGCAAAATGAGGCAAAGCATGACGGCTCACCGTCGCCGGGGATGACAGACCAGGAGAAGGAGATGGCAGCCAGCGCATACGAAGCATTTACGGTAAATAATCAAACATTTCAACTTAACCCACAGTGTCTTCTGACAATGAATGTGTATATAAAAAAATACTGCAAGTGGTTCTAATTTCTTCTTTAGAGAAGTGAGAGAGATGTGAATATGAACACATTCAGTACTTGGAGCAAAGCAACTGTCACTTTTATGTTGTTTTGCTGTGTTTGTAGAAGTGGTCTATGTGAGCGTTTAGCTGAGATCTAGAGGTTCTGTGGACACACGCTGGGACTTATGTTACAGCCCATTCAACAGGATCTGCCCCGTTTTGCCCCCCAGTACTGAGGGTGCTGGGCTCAAGAGGTTAACTGGATAGAGTGGAGGCAGTGTCGGAGTATATTATGTTAACTGTTGCACAGCATGAGGGGTCTTCTAGGTATTTTAGATAGTCTTTTTGAGTGCATCATCTATGACGAGTGAGTCACACTAACCAGAGTAAAATGAGCAAACTGCTCGCTCCACAACAGTATCTCTACCTGAAATGGTCTCAGCCCCTAAAATGTGCCACCGTCCACATTTATGAGGCAATTCCAGTCTCAGCCAAGTTTTTAGAGGGCCGTGGAAATCCTGAATAAAATGCAAGTGCTCGTAAACTCCTGCTCATCAGTTCACGCTGTATACTCAGGTTTGACCAGCTGCTCTTTTTCTTGTTATTTGTCGTATTTGTGAGAAGAAATCCAAACATTGTGAAACGTTGTTTTTTCTTCTAGGCTGGGAGATGTGACGAGGCGCTCAGACACCTTGAAGCCCTGCAGGAGCTCACTAAAGAGGACTACAAGATTGCAATGAATAAAGCTGTTGTTGAGTTTTACAAAAGCGGTCAGACGACCACAGGGCTGCTGAAGCAGACCCTGATGTCAATGAAGAACCAGGTAACTAAACCGAGTTCTTTTCATAGGTTTAATCCTTGTTTGCAGTCAACTCAGAGCCTGGCTTACTTTCTGTGTTTCAGGTTCACACGTCAGCAGAAGATGTTGATGGTTTGGATGATGTTGAAAATAGTTTCCTGTACTACAATCAAGCTATCATCCACTATTACATGCGGCAGTTCTCTGATGCGATCTGCATCGGAGAAAAGCTCTACCAGTTTCTGGAACCGTTTGGTATGTCGTGCTAACTTCCATGCATTTAATTGGCAGGGTTGTTGCAAAGCATCAGCTCCAGGATGTGATGTTGTCAGCTGCCGTTTTTCTTCTTTGTAAGGCCGGCTCAGTTGTGCGCTCTTTCTGAAATATCTTACTGACTGTGAATGGAGAGCCAGTCCCCTCTTCTGTATGTTTAAAGTGTTAAGTTCAAGTGCAGCATGCAACGGTTTTTAGAATGACTTTTATTATTGTCTGTATTGTGTATTACACTGATGGTGACGATACTTTGAATATATGAAATGAGAAAAACAATCAGGCAGTACAGGGTAGGGTTTGTGAGACCTTACCTGTAGTTGTATCAGCAGCAGTCATGATGTCACAGTTTTGCTCACACAACAATGAAACAAGTTGGGCTCTTTCCTCGTTTCATCCTGTCAAACAACTACTTCACTATAGAGACTGTGGTTGAATCAACAATAAGGCTTTAAGCATCAGAGTAAAGATGACCTTAAGAAGTAATGACTTTGATTTTCTTCACTAATAAAGTTTAAATCATTAGAGAAAAATGACTCAGACGTCTCATAGAGATTAGTAGTTTAGTAGTACTGATAAGTATATAGACTCTGTGATTGATCTGAGTTAACTTCAGTAATCAAAACCATCAACATGTCTGTGAGATCCCATTCCTCCAAGGCTGCTCAGAGAAGTCATTAATCAATGCTTCATGGTCTCTATCAATGAGCTGCGTACCACAGGCCTTTAAAGTGGCAGGAACATTACGTAAAGGTCATCACCTGAACCAGCTATCTGTGCTTATTATAGGACAATCTGCAACCTTCAAGAACTCTCCAAGAAATTCTTGAATTAGTAGTTGTAAAACAGCTAACTGGTGGTCTGCAGAGGAATGCTTTA